AGGAGGAAAAGGGTTGGCTAACCAACCAGGAGGATATTGTAAAAGTGTTATTGCTCATTTTGAAAAAAAAAATTGAAAAGGAAGGGAGGCCCAACCTATATGCTTGAATCCACTACAAAATCACTTACAATATCATAACAATCCGAATCTCACATACATTCATGAGGAAACTAAAATTAGAGGGGCTTTGAATTTGATTGACAATAACAAAATTGTTGGACCAGATAGCTTCACTGCTAAATTTTACAAGGTTTTTTGGAGTATTCTTAAAGTTGAAGTTGCTAAGACTGTACAAAGTTACTTTTGTGGTGAGGAGATGTGCTCCTTCTTTTTTAATTCAAAAATTGTGCTGATACCTAAAAGTAAAGAGAGAACTACTTGGGACTTTTTCAGGCCTATCTGCCTTAGTAGTGTGATTTTTAAAGTGATTATCAAAATCTTAGTTACAAGATTGCAACCACCATTTATCTAGGTGGATTATAAATAATTAATCTGCATTTATAAATGACAGAGTATCTCTGACAATATTTAAGAAATGCTATATAACCTAGTTAGGAAATGCAGAGGTGGAAATATGATTATTAAACTTGATATGAGGAAAGCTTATGATTCATTAAGCGAGGAGTTTGTTTTAGAGGTTCTTAAGGGGAGAGATTTTTAGGAATCGTTTGCAATCTAATTAAAAGATGGTTGCATGGAAATCAATACTTTGTGTTTATCAATGGTAGTTAACATGACTTCTTTTCTTCTGGTAGGGGTATCAAGCTATGCAACCCACTCTCTTCTACTATTTTTATTCTAGGCTTTGACTACTTTTCAGGGTTGGTAAATGATTTACAACTGAGGGTCTGTTTGACGCAGCTGCAGATTCTCAGATTTTCAGCTGCAGCTGCGCTGCCCCAGCTGCGCTGCCCCAGGAAGCAGCTGTAGGGAAGCAACTGTGGGCCTGAATTCAAGAGTAACTCAATATCACCACAGAGCAAAATTGTTGGCGAGCCATCTTGCTTATGCTGACGATGCTATAATTTTCACTAATGCTAGCTTATTTACAATTAAAAAAGTGCATATCTTGTTGTTTAACTTGAGAGTGTTTCAGGTATGACCATTAATACTAATAAATGCCAACTCCTTTTTCGAGAAACATGTGAGCTTGATGAGGAGCTTGGATTAATTTCTACACTGAGTTTTTGGTGGCTGATTTGTCTCTCAAATATCTAGAAGTTAATTTGCTAATCAGTAGGAAAAAATAGATACTGTTTGAGGAGGTGGTGGGAAAGATTAAAAATAAAATTGGGAGTGGACCAACCCCTTTCTCTTCTATGGGGGTAGAATCACCTTACTTAAAAGTATCTTAAATACTATACCTTTTATGTATTACAAGCAGTGAGAATGAACTCTAGTACACAGAAGATGTTAGAGAGGCTTTTCAACAATTTTCTTTGGGGGGCCGATAAAGAGAGGAATGTTTGAGCGAGCTGGAAGAAGTTATGTAAGCTCCTTATGACTGGGGGTCTCAGTTTTAGGGAATTCCATCATATAGATGAAGTTAATTGCATTAAATTGTAGATTAACTTTAGGAATCTTGATTTCTTATGTGCAAATTTCATGAACACTAAATACTGTAGGGGGTTGCTCTTCGTCCAAGTTACTTTCAAGGGGGGGTTGCTCTAAAACATGGAAGGGAATGTCAGGTTCTAGAAACTATGCTGAAAATGCTATCTTTTGGAATTATGGAGAGGGAAACATCTCCTTTTGGAAATATATGTTGTGCTTAGAAGACCTCACTAGCTGTAACAATGTGGGGCATGAGAATCTTAAAGTTTCTATCTGCTGGGCTGGAAATGGCTGAAACTTGAAATTTTTTGTGAACTTATTTGGGAGGGAGCTTGCTTGTCCTATCTCCAAGATTCCTTTTGATAAAACTAAGAAAGATAAACTGATCACCAAATTCTCTCGTTACATCCCTATCACTATAGCTATTTATCTTAAGGTACATCAATGGAGCAAGGTTGAATGGGCTTAATTAGCATGAAACAAACTATTATTTCCATCTATGTCCGTTTTCATTTGGAGGTTCTTTCACAACTCACAGCCTATTGATGATATACTTAAATTGAAGGGGTTACAACTGCCTTCCCAATGCTTATTTTGCAAAAGTGAAGAGGAAAATCTTTCACACTTATTTTTTTCTTGCAAATTTGCTTTACATATTTGGAAAAAAAGTGGGACATTTATTTGGTTTGGTTTTACCTGCTGGTGGCTGGAGCAGAATTTCACAATGCTTATTCGTTTGGTCTTTCAAACATGCGAGTAATTATGCTTATTTATTATTCCTTTTATAATATTATGATTCATTTGGATGACTCACAATTCATTTAAACTTGATGAGGTTAAAGGGAGGATAAGATTGTTACAAATATTTTAGGTTACATTTATAAACTTGAAGCCTATGTCAATGAAGATTTTACTTGTTTTGCTGGTTTTCATTTACTGTTTGGCAAAGAAAAGACTGTAGTTGGCAGGTGTGGCAAAACTAAGGTTTGACAAGTTATTAGATGGCAGTTAGCTGCTGGTTTTCATTTACTGTTTGGCAAAGAAAAGACTCTAGTTGGCAGGTGTGGCAAAACTAAGGTTTGGCAAGTTATTAGATGGCAGCTAGCTCAAAGATAGGGTAGGTTGTGAGGCGATTTTTGGTGATTGCACAGGTAAATGCATTACTTTCTTTTCTTCTCCCTTTGTTGCATTGATGCACTGCAAGCCGAAGCTCTGGCTGTACTACTTACGGTTAAGGTGGCTGTTAAATTAAATATTTGTTGTTTACATGTTGAATTGGATTGCTTGGATCTTGTGAATATGTTTAAGGGAACTTATTCTCCTCCTTGGCATGTTTCTTTATATGTTAATTGTATTCTTGAAACGACTAAGCAAATGCATATATCTTATGATGTTATACACCTAAGGAAGGAAACAAGGTGGCAAATTGGCTAACAAACATGAGTACTTTTTCTGAGGATGTGGAAATTGGGTAGCACTCCCTCGTATGCTCAAGATTCTACTGCATGGGGATTTAATCAATATCTCTCACTTGAGAGTTTAGTCTTCACACCATTGATGGTAATTGTTTGCATTCAATTTGGAGCTTGCATTTTTTGTCTTTTGGGGATTTAGATATTTTGGTTGGGTATACTTGTAATTTTTTTGAGCCTTCTTCTTGGGTGAGCTGTACCTTTGTAAGAGGAACCCTATGAGTGGGTATTATAGTTCATTTGTTTTTATTAGTAAGTTCCTTTTTCCACGTTTATAACCCCATATTTTTACGAAATAAAATTTAAAATTACCTAAAGGTTTGTTTAGTTTAATATATATATACTTATTTATTTGTTTCAATGATATGATATTTTTCAAGTCAAATATGATGATTCAAATATGTGCCGAGTCTTTTAAGACTTGTATAAATAATAGTTCAAATATTTTCAATTTACATACCCACCAAGCTATTTATGTAATTATTTGAATTTGCTTGATATCCAACCTTAAATGAACCGCTTAAAGCTCTTTTTAATTCAAAGTTCATGAGTAAAAATTATACAATGTATGAAGTTAACAACTCACATACAAAGTTATTCAAATAGACAAATATATGAAATTAAAAACTCACATGTGCTCCAATTAAGGTGCTAAACATTTGATTATAAAGTCTGAGAATTTTTAAAGTTTAGCATAAAATAAATGTAATTCATCAACATGAGCTCTACCAAATTGATTGAATATTTAAACCTGAACAGTTTGACAATGCAACTCAAATTAAAATGAAGTTTTAACTCACATTTCTCTCATTTCGAAAAATGCACAAATTTGATTTTTAAAAAAAATTACATTTATTTTAGTCATAAAATCTCTATTTTAAATTTAAATTCAAAATAATTAACTTATACAAACTTTCAAATAGGTCATCTACTGTAAGAATTAGAATTGATGAGATTAGTATTTTTAAAATATTAAAATGACGTTAAAATAAAATAAAAAAAATAAGTATTCCAATTATCCAAAATTAAAAAATCACCAAAAGTTAACTAAATCAAGCATTAAAATCAAACTTCAAAACTAGCACGAGAAAAAGCTAAAGTAAAATTAAATCACTTAAAACTTAAAGCAAAATTCATCCGCCCTACAATACTTTGATTGTGATAAGTTTTTAGTCAACCTCAATTCATAAAAAGTGAATGTCACTATATTCATACTGAAAATAAATTTATACCAATATGGATGGTTCTAAGTTCTCTATTCTTATGATTTTGCCCGAGGATTCCGCCAAAAAGTGATTACAATCAGAGTCCAGTAGTTTGGCCAATAAGCTGCACAATAATTACAGTAGTTTGGCCAATAAACTGCACTATAAAACAATCACACTAGTAGTTATATATTCATCAATAACTTTTTACTATTTGAATGGTAAATCATAAGGTTATGTTTGATTAATACAATTTTTTTTTGA